ATTATTATTATTATTATTGTAATTATTATTAAAAAATCTGTCTATTTAATTTGTTCACGTAGTTTTTGCAGGACACTTGTTATCACTTCATCATTAATATATTTACTTTTGTAGAACCTTTGACATATGTTATACATAGACACTGCTTGGTTTCGTCTCTAACCTCTAATTGTGTTCTTTCACTTGGGCATATTGCAATTGAATTTTTATACTATTTTCATCAATCTGTCTGTATATTGTTTCACTTGTCTTCGTGCTGACTCTGTAATTGGCTACCAGCTGTTGAGTACAGCACGTAAATAAAACCAAGAATTGAATTGAATTGAAATGAATTGATGCATACTGCAGCGATAATGTCGCAGGCGTTTAGAAAAGGGTGTAATTGTGCACTTTTTTGCATTAATCTGTATTCTCCATTTCCGGAACCACGGTTCTAAAAGGCTTATGGCAGAGTTTAACTTCCTGACTGCTATATCTATGCTGCCTGACCGAACACTAATATTCGTGTCATCAGCATAGACCGATATGGCTATGTTAGAGTCATTTTCAATTGAAGGAATGTCATTAATATAAATATTGAAGAGTGTGGGTCCAAGTAAGCTGCCCTGAGGCACTCCGGCCTGAATGGGGCGTAGGTTTGAATAATAGTTTTTGTGCATTACAAAAAAGAATCGATTCTGGAGGTAGTTATGTATTATATGAATGAAGTGAGGTGGAATTTTGGCCGCAATGAGTTTAGCAATCAACCCGGTGTTCCAGACCTTGTCGAATGCTCGTTCAATATCCAGGAGTAAGGTTACTGTAGATTTGTTATTGTTGAAACCGTGCGTAATGCTCTCCACATTCCTTAACAACACATGTGTTGTGGAGTGACCTCTTTTAAAACCGTATTGGTCATTTCTGATAGCCTGCAGCTTCCTAAGTTCGAAGTTTAGTCTTTTTAGAATGATTTTCTCAAAAATTTACCTAGAGAATTTAGAAGGCTTATTGATCTATAATTTAGTGGGGACGGGTGATCTTTGCCTGGTTTCGGAAGCATAATCATTCTTGCCTCTTTTCATTGTGTAGGAAAATAATTTAGGGCAAGCGATCTATTAAACAATTTCGCAATAAATTTGAAAACAAACCGCGGCAGATGCTGAAGTACTAGATTCTGTATCCCGACAGGCCCTGCTGCTTTGCGTGGTTTGAGGTGGCGGACAATCCAAGCAATTTCTGAATGATTTGGAACCCTCATCCGGTCTGTCAGTGGCTGTGTAAGGAAGTCATTCACTATCTGTTCAGTGCTGACTGTAAAAGTACGATCAGCATTCGAATTGGTAGTGGAAATTTGTTCCAAAGTATAGGGAAATGCGTTTACTTTTTCCTGGGTTTCAGTCACAGTTTTCCCATTAATGGTAAGGGGTGGGATATTAGAATTTGTGTTTGCTAAACTTTCAGTTATCCTCCAGGTGTCTCTCATGTTATTGGTGTCCAGCCCTTGTAAAGTTTTCTGTCAGGTGTTCTATAACTGTTCTTTGATTGCCGAATCTATTTGCCCCTTTAAAGAATTA